CAGAATTTTCTGGGTGGTTTGCCTTCTTAAAAGTAAAACAAATTGGGGTGGGGGTACAAAAAAAAGGTTGCAATCTGAAACTAAAGGGGAGGAGAAACATATTTTATATTTAGTTGGCCTTTTTTGAATACAACTGAAAAAAAACGAGATGACTCGCTTGGAAAACGTAAAATTGGTAAATGATATGAGAATATTTAATGTGATTATAGAAAAACTCAATACTGTATTTCAGCTATCGTTTGTGTAATTATGGATTTCATCCTATTTCATAATAATATTAATACTATTTTCTGTGACCTTCACCCTTTTGTCTTTAAGAAATAGAATTATGGATGATTTGCATAGCCTGCATTAATTTTAAATGATGTGTACAGTACAGGTCAGTGAAGCAAGTGTATAAATGAGTAGTTAGGGCACCATTTGGGGCTTAGACTTACGAAACCTGTTGCTGTGCAAATCATCGTGTCCTTATTATGGAAGATAGTGTACATTACTTCTTGGTTCTCACAGTCTCTAGCATAAACTGGTACCTTGTACCAGATGCTGTGGTATTGAAAGTACTAGTTTCATGCTCTGAGTATACAAACACACACACACACACACACACACATATGTGACTAGGATACTTCCCAGTGAGCAAAAAGTTTCACTTTATGCTATATGCCAATGTGCAATATGTTATCCAGTGACACATACAGTAATAATGCTATTTCAACTTTGATCATTGGTTTGGAATTGCACCTATAAAAATCCTTAGTAATTTTATTACATTAAACTTAAATTCTAGACTAGTAGAATGCATAACCTTTTTTTCCCTTCCCCCTCTTCCCAGTTCATTAGGCAGTTGAATTCAGAAGAATTGAAATCAAAGGAAAAAAATATATTGGCCTAGATTTATTGATCCACTAAATGTGTGTGATGGTAGTTTCCATAGCAACATACAAATTGTTCACCATGCTGATTATCAGCCGCTGACCTGTGATTGGCTTTTGCATGTGATTGAAAGCACAAATTCATTTCATCATATTCATAATATTGTCTTCTTCGCCTCTGTGTCACATATAGATCTGTTTCCTTTTTAAACAAGATCACAATCAAAGATGCAATTACTTTGTTGTAGGCCAATATTCTTTGGTGGTTGTGTTTAGTTCTGTTGCACTTACAATGCATGTTGCACTTACAATGCGTCCTCATCTAATGCATTCTATAATGAATACGATGCACCATTGTCAAACTCATTATTTGCTTTTGGTTGCTACGGTGATGTGCAATGATAATTTTTCTCAAATTCAGGAGTTAATAATGTCTCCTTTGTCCGGTTGCGGTGCAATGATTGGTAAATTTATGAGGTCTTCTAAAATCGATACTGCTACGTTATATAAGTTTTGATTGGCGGACATGCAATTTGCCAGAATCATCATGTTCGTCAATTTTGATCAATTCATTGATTCATTAATCGTTGTTCGGTCTCATCAGGATGTTAGCATCAGAAAGTAAATTGGTCGAAAGGTCTCAAACATGTTTTCTATGCTACAATACTAATCAGTTGTTTTTCATTGTTTATTTCTGACTGTTAATTGGCTAATAGATCATAATTATGTATGCATTATTACTTATTTGGTTTTCCTTATCTGCTCTCCTCATCTGATGAATCTGGTATCAACTGGCAGTGAAACCTAGTGCAAAATAATTAACATTTATTGTGCTGTTAGAACTCTATAAATGTTTCTAACATGGCTATACAAACATTTATGGTTTATGTTAATAATACAAGTGTCTATTTTTTGTTTATCTCATGTTTGCATACAGTATTCATGCAGCAACTGTTAAATGGTAGAAGGAAAGCAGAATAAATTTATCAGTGCATCATTTACAAAAATGAATGTAAAACAAATAAAATTACTTTTTTTTGCATGAAATGTTCTGTTTTAATGCAAATCTAATAATCATTTCAATTTGATGGCAGTAAACAAGTAATCTTCTTACCTACAGTAGAAAAATGGCATCTAGGGCCTTGTTGGATTTAGGTTAAAATAAATTTAGCCAAAGACTTTTTAAAGTTGTTGCATTTTCAAATTTTGCTCCATGCACTTATTTGCACATAAACATATTTCAAAACTACGAAGAAAGTTGTCAATTTTAATATTTACCTTTATATTTTGACATTTATGATGTCTTATGTATTGTGTAATTTAGTGTGATTGTATCAATTTTTAATTTTATTCTGTGAACAAACAATACATTGGTAAACTTTGAATGAGAATTTCTTGAAAATGTGTTTGGGTTTCTCACAAACGTAGGTATAATTAAACTTCTATATATAGCTTTAAACGAAAAGTTGAATTGTAACAATTTTTTAACCATTGTAAAGACAATACAGTACCTTAATAAAATAATAATAATGTATTATCGCAAAATTCGAAATTCCAACAAGCGATTGATTTGGCTTGGCCGCGCCACAAATGGTAATTTTCACAAATCAATCTTGGTTGCTAATTTTAATTTAACTTCTACCATGTTCAGCACTTTTCATAATTTTTTATCATATTAGCTATGATTGTGCTTTTGAAATTCAATGAAATAGGTCAACATAAAGTATTATTTTACATTGTATCTTCATTACTCAAGTTTAATACATAATGTACTACAATGACCTAAACAACAATAAAAGAAATTAAAATTTAATTTAATTGTTTATTATTTCATTTAGTTTTTTGAATTATATTTTTACTAACTGTACATTGCATGTCAAAAAGATTTACTGAATAAAGTAAAAGTAATTTTTTTAAGTAAACCCAGAAATACATATAGTACTGTTGTCATGTGTTGTGATGTACAGTGCACCCTCCAATTTAAGACCCCTCCAATTTGAGACCACTTTTCTAAAGACCCAAATAACAATCTTCAACCTTTTAACACAAAGCTAACCCTCTAATTAGAGTCCAACCCTGAGACCACCCCAAATTTTCAGGTCGTTATAATATCTTATAATCTAAATTTTTGTACTGTAAACTTCCCGTAGAAATAATTTGACAGATTCGGAAATCACCATGGTAGCAATTGTGGAATATGATTATAGCACCCTCTAGAGTTTGATTTAAAGCTCTTTTGTTCTGAGTCTGTGAACAAAGGTCTGTTGTTAAAGGCTTACGAGGATGGGCAATTAAATCTGTACAATTGACGTCATTTCATTCAAGAGTACTGTACAGTATTTTAATTTCATCATCCTATGGGAATGGAAACATGCTTTGTTTGTTGGAATATTAAATTTACTGGTGGGTGGTGGAACTGTACTGTCATTGTGGAATATAACTATGTTTAAACTCGCCCACATACCTGTAGTAATAAATTGTCTTTGTATTTAATGTTGTTATCAAAATAAATTTTCCTATTTACATGAACGGCTATACAAGTTTGATAAAAATATTGCAGTCATGTATAATATGATCAATTGGATGTGATTAAATTAAAAACAAATTCCATATTCACAGGCAGCCTACAAAACACCATGCACCATAGTATGTTTTAGCATTGCATACAAATTTCTCTCACTTGAGAAAGCAATTACGTCTGTCGGCTATAACATTTCAACACCTCTGATATAGACATAAGTTCTGCTTTCAGTATGCTAAAAGAAAGTCAATCATAAATACTTAATGAGCTATTTAAATGACTTTAAAAAAGTAGTGAGCATTCTACATTTAAATACTTCAACAGAAGAGTCAGAAGTGGAATAGAAATATTTACATATGAGTATCACAAGGCTCTCACGCATCCCTTTTATTCATTCTGTCTCTAAGAACATTATATTTTTGACTTGGAATAAATTATACGGAATATGCAGATACTGTAGTATCGATTACATAGCCAGAAATGGTTATCAAATATAAAATGTCCAGAGGTCATGAAATGTAATTTCATTGTCACTGCATATCCATCCTCTACAGTATAAAGATTTGCATCCATGTACAATATGTAATAAAATGTTTTGATAGTCAAGTGATAAAAAATGGAGAAAGGGTTTTTCAACAATGTTTCCTACATTAGCAGTATCAGTGGGAAGGGTGTGATAAGGGGGTGTGATAAAGGGGTGTCAGGAGAGAGGGTGAGGTAAGAGGATCTCATCGGACAAGCATTTTTCATCAGGTAGGCCTAATACTGGAAGAGGTGAATGTTTTAATATCTAAAAATTTGCAAATCCAGTCAAGTTATTGTGATTGGTTGCAGTTTTATGATCTAACAGCACAATTTTAGCCATCCTAAACCATGTCCTTCCCTTCAGGAGTAAACTCCTGGAGACTCCAGGAGTTGCCAGGTCCTTTGCTGAGTGTCTGGAATATTTTTGGGTGGGGGAGCTACTGTACTTTACCACTCATTTTGTCCCTCTTGAAAATGATTAAAAATTGACATCTTTAAATAATTGTAACTTGAACTCTAAACCCAGCAATCCGAGTTCAATTCTTGGTAGAACCTATATAATATTTTGTCAACTTAAACTCAATTAGCATATTTTTAATGTTTTTTAAATTGTACCTTCAAAAAATTGATAAATTGAGCACTTATAAAACCTTTACCCCTAATAATACAGGTATACCTTCATGGTCTTAGAATACCAGAGGGAAATTACCTCAAAGTATAAATAATGATATATAGTACTCATTAAATAGGGACAATCTTCATAACAGTGTCTGGTTGATGGGTAGTGAATAGTAGTTATCTTGTTTGGATAATTAAGAAAAAGTTTTATTAATCAGCTATTGCATTTGATATAGTAATGTAAATCAATGCTACATAACGACTGTTTATTAGCATACCATTAAATTTGTGTTTGATAATGAAAAGTTTGTGACACCATGAAACACCCACACTAAGCACTTATTGTAGTGGGTTTCAAATTGTGGTTACAGATGCCAAGCTGATCCCTAATTGTTCCATTGACTCACCTTCCCCTCTGGAAGAAGGTTTCAACTTCCTGGGAAGGTCAAAGTGCATATTCTCAATCTAATGTTCGCATAATCTGCAGCTGATCCAGCTGTACATTTTGATTCAGAAGGAGATTTTAGTATAATAATATAGTAGAGGAGTACGTTTGGCAACAACTGATTATTGACAACCATGCAGGCTTATTCACTTCTTATGTATGAAGGTGTGGGCTAATCTGACAAAGCTAACTGGACCACTCAGCCTACTGCCACCAGCTCACTTGTGTTTATTCAGGATTTCTGAGCTGATAAAAAGACCTAGTGCCCAGTAGTTGGGGAGGGTCTAGCTTTGTGTCCATCAAGAGTGGATTTTATAATCTTGCATCCTGTTTCTAAGTTTACCACTGCAGTGGTTAATTATGGTTATTTGCTACCTCTCGATGCCGGGGATCAGAAAGTAGAGGGCAAAGTGGAATTTTTGAAAACTGTTTTTGGGCAGGTGGTCGATTCCTAAGCAACACTGAATTTGGATACTTTGTTTTTCTGCTTATCTGCTGGTTTACTCAGTACATGGAGAACGTCAATGGGCTTGTCATCCCAATATGAACCAAACATGAGCAATGAAGATGAAGATGTAAGTTACTATGGTAACAGACAGTAACTTAAAAGTATATTACCAAGAAAAGTGCTGTAATTGCTATAAATTCTAATAACTTCTAATTCCAATTAATATTACCAATAATATAGTTTCATTTTTGGAATCTTATGACATGACTCAAATCTAAAAGTCAGTTAAATGTAGGCAAAATTAAAAACGTAGGCCTATAATCTTGTGATTATAAGGTTTACTGTATATCCCAATTTTCATTTTTCTTTCCGTCATTCCTTTCCCTATCCTATATTTCATTTCATACTTTGTTAATTTGCCCTATAATTCATTGTTCCCTTCCCCCAAAAAATTACTCACTTCCCCCATTCACCCCCCAAAAAATCACGGTCAAGTAGTTAAAAATCATCTACAATCACCATATTTTGCGGATTAGCGCCCCTCAACTGATCACTTCACCTTTGTGCCCCCATCAGACCCCCCATCCTGTCTCTTATTCCGGCCCCCCCCCATTTCAAGACTTCTAGATATGCCACTTGTCATTCCATCTCTCTTCTACCTCTTCTTATACTCCATTTATTACTTCCTTCATCACATACCTACTGTATTTAAGCAAAATTATGTTTGTACCATAAATGTTTCCAAAATCCTATTATTTTTTGCAAGTACTGTAGTGAAATATACTATTTGAAGCATTTTTACTTCAACTGAATTTAACTTCTTTTACTGTACGTATTGCATTGTTTTTTAGATTGTTTTTTTTTTCTGGAAGAAATATGTTTATTTGATTTTATTTGATAATTATTGCAACTTTCTAATATTCAGTGTAAATTTATTTCAGTAGATTTATAACTACATTATGTTAAAATGGTGTTCATACATCATTTGTCTAGTAGCAGAAAGAGATGTCCATTATTTATGTGTTGCTCTTTGCCAACGTCATTCTTTTGCAGACCCCTTGACAGTGTACAACATTTTATGATGAATATTAGATGAACGAACAAATGAATATGACACATGTACTCCATAGTAGTTGTGCAATTTTTGTACAATAATGATAATGATACCATCTATGATCAAATTAAAAAAGATAATTCAATTTAATCATTGAATAACTCAATTACAAGGGATCAAATATATGTAAATACAGATCAGAAAAAAAAAATTCCCAGTTTTTGCTGATATACGAAAATTTAATGTACCAAAAAAATACTTTAAAAAATTGACTACCAGCTACTTTAAGGGTCTATGTTAAAGAGAAAGGATTATTTATGCATCTGTTAATTGAAAGTTGTTGACTTTGCTTTTAAAACTGTCAATTACTAGTAGTCATCAGATATTAATTTTTTTTCCCTTGAGTTTTTTAAACATAAGACAGATAGTCTCTTTCTGAAAACTCTCAGTAATATTATGAGCCAAGAATTTGTCCCAAATTGTTCTTCTGCATATTACGAGTAGTAACATAGCCAATACATTTTTTTAGGAAACTAGTCTGACTTTAGGCCTTATTTTAATATCTCAATTCTGTGCATCCCGATTCAGTGCAAAATTCAACAAAATAGAGCCCTCTGTAGTACAAAACTGATTCAATATACCGTACAGTAAGTAATGATCCAAACACATTTTATTTTTAATACCAATGTATATTTAAAGTAGAATGAAGTAGAGAAATATAATGATGGATAATATAAATGAAATTATCAGGCATCGAACCAGTGATCGAGATGTCAGTCTTAATATGGGCACTGGTCGAATGTACGTTCTTCCATTGCTCTGGTGGTAGAAGGCTTCTGATAAGGACTATAAACTGTAGGCGTAGTGTGCACAATAGAATCTTGTTCATTTTAAACAACATCATTCAAGGTGAGTAGGGGATGCTCACACAACGTCGGTGGTGGACAGATGAAAGCTGCAACACCGATTTTATAGGGTAGCTGCACAGACATGATTTAGGTACAGTAAATGTGTATGGAAATCGCTTGTCCATATATCAAGCGCCATAAAAGTCGGGATTTGAAGAATACCAGTGCTATACAAATAGCCTGTACTGTTGTGGTCCACATATGACCACTGTCAAGACCAGGAAAGGAGTGAAACATAAGTAATAATAACTATTAACAAGTATATGACTGATGATATTTTAAAGATGAGTGTACTTAGCAATTGCTATGGTAATTATGTGTGAAGAATAATGGTAGTTGATTTCAAATCCATGAATCAAATTTTTAAAAATATGAAAAATTAATGAAGCATATTTTATGTAAACATATAATAAAATAGCACTCTATTGAATCAGTTCCTGGATATATTCAGGTCAATGATTCACTTCAGTCCAGGATTTTCCTTATTCTTTCTCAGGTTTGAGGAAGTGTTTTGATCAACATTTTGCTTATAAAAAATGTTTTCTTTCCCGTTTCATTTCATTTGAAACAGGTAATCTGTCTCCGATTGTATATACCTATACAAAAAATAACTGCAACTGATTTTAGACTTATTTGAATGACGGTTTTGATACCAACATTTCACATTGGAACATAGTGTAAGTTTTTTTTTTCAAATTTAATGTTGTGTGTACACTAATGTTAACTCTTCATTTTCTGGGTTTGGTTACTGTACCTGATGCAACATGCAAACCTACTTAATTACAAAAGAAAATCATTATCGGTATTTTCATAATCAGTCACTTACAGTATACTCTTTAATAATTTTTCATCTGTTTCTCTTCACACATTATGGATGACAAACGTTTTACTTACTGTTAATTTTCTCCACTAGTCAGTAGGCCTACTGTCAAGGAAAAAATTATTAGTTGTATCTCTTGTGGTCAGGTACTTGTGGTGTTAGACAGTTTGTAACTTTGTCAGATTGCAAAGTTTATCGTTAAAGATTGTGATGATGAGCTTGTTTCCAGTAAGCTTGACCATGGGACATTGATCGGTGTTGTCCCCCCACATTTCAAGTGGATGATATGATATTAATTGCCTCCCTCCTCCCACTTTTCACCAATCTGAACAAAAAGAAAAACAAAACAAAAATTACGATTCACTGCCATGAATTTGTCTGTTTCATGATAAAGATAAAGTAAATCACCTTTATGTTTGTGAAATAAAAATGCTAGTATAGTTACACTAATGTACTGTGCACTTCCTAACTCCCTAGCCCTGTTTGATTGTAAATTAAACGGTAGATGTATTTCCAATCTCAAGTCGTAATACTATTAGCAAAAAAGTGCAATTTAAAAAGAGGGGAAAAAGAAAAGCTTTTGATGGATTTTAAATGTATGCAAAAGACTAGATGAGAGTGACTGTTTTAAGTTCTTCTCTTATTTGTTTTTTTTGTCTGTCATGGTTCAGAGACATTTAACATGAGCTAATCATTAGATAATAAATCATTATTATATTTATGAATGTTGTGGGCTTATGACTACGAAATACTTTCAATGGCAGATTCAAGATTTTTGTGCATAGAGACCATAAGTCTTCAACCATTACCATTACCATCAAGGGGAACCCAGCCAGCCCACCCTTTAACTGTGAAAGTCCCTTCCTGGGCCCTTCTATTTCAAATTCCTGGATCCACTACAGTATTTTGAATAGTAGTAGTGTGGAAATAGATATTAAGTTTACCTTGAAATCAGTTAGATATAACAGTTGGAACACCTGAACTTCTGGGAGTTTTGTTGTCCCTTTGTTTCCCACCCAAATATTGGCCTATGTTTTAAGTCTTCCACATTTTGCAATTCGTCACCCCCACTTTCAACCATTCATCGATCCAGTGATCTTGACATATTATGCATATATCAGGAGGACAGTATTATGAGTACAGGATAGGAAGCAGGACCGCATGGAGTGGCAGTGGGCCCTAGGGCAGCTTTGCTGCCCAGCCGCATAGGCTGGGGATCTGCAGGCTACGTAGGGCCCCAGCCTGATCGAGGGAGACAGATCCCAGTGGGGGCCAGGAGGGGTGAGGCCCCTGGAGTGAGGCCCCGGGAGTGAGACCCCCAGAGGTGAGGCCCCGGGAGCTACGGCCTTTTAACAGTTTAAAGGACTAGCTTAATTTCACCAGGTCGTGAACAATAAAGTAGAAACATAAAAAGTAAAGGCTGTCCTTCCTTTTATTGACATATAGAGCTGAAAAAATTTATAACATATCAGTGGCAGATTCAGGAATTTGAAATAGAGGTGGCCCAGAGAAGGACTTTCACAGGTTGAGAAGGTCTACTTCAGGAGGCTGGAAATGGCACTCTTAGACTTTTGAGTAGAATTTTCGTTTTTTCCCAATTTTTGTTAAATTTTGAAAATATTAGGGGTGGGAGGAGGGAGGGAAGACCTAGGCACCCCTTAAATCTGCCATTGGTATAACATATTATTTCAGTATTTATTTGACAATCGAATCTCTCAGGTCTATTCATATTTTCTAACTTGTACAGTATGTACGTGGACGATGTCCAGGGTCCAAGGCTTCGATAAGAAGTGGTTAATTACGAGCTTTCATCAATAGACTATCAGCTTTATTTACAAGTCTCGTGGGAAAAACAATAATACTGAATGAATGTAGGCCTATACATTTAATACTTTTTAATTATTTTATTTTATTTATTTTTTACCTGGCATCCCGGGCCCTGAGGCATTTTCCTTGTTGCACAGCCTCTGGGTGCGACTGGTAGGATGTGAATGGTTCAAAATGAAATTGGTAGTATTTAAATTACACATTGCCTACTGTATGATTGATTCTGTATGCAGTGACCAAGGGAAAAAGGCACCTTGAGCAATTATTCTGGTAGTGATAATATGTGGTATAATTTGTAGAAATACTGTAAATATGAAAAACTTTTTGCTGAGATTGTGTCAAACCAATTGAAGTGATACTATCGCCTGATTGAAGTAATCCTTCTTTATAATTCAAGTAATATTGTTCCGTGTCCCCGAATTCAATTATTATGCAACAATTGCACTTGGTATGATTATAGAATCCATAGGCCAACAATGAACATAAACAATTATGTGAATGTGTACGTATTATGTTCA